GCATCCCAATGATCTTTAAGCCTAGTAATGATATCCTCATGAAAAGTTTTGATTTCCTGCATCATAAAGGATTCCATGCATGTTAGAGAATTTGTAAATTGCTCTAACTGCTCCTCTACAGGTTTTTCTAGGTCTTTAATATGCTTATCCTTAGACAACATCTGGAAGGCATGGAAATTGCCTTCTAAATATTGGGGCCTAGACTCAAGGTCATGATTTGTTGAGGTGGAGGACTCAGCAATTTACCAAATGGATCTGTCTAATATGTCAGCCCTATTCTGTAAATTATCTTCCGAACATTTGAAACTAGACTCAAATTTGTGATTTTCTGCCTTAGATGCTTCCACAATAGATTGAATGACATTATCCAATTCTTCAACCCTATCCTGGACATTTTGTACCTTTGCATCTAATTTCTGGGACACAGAACATATCTGAGTTTCTAGTTGGCTACAGATATTCTTTAGTTCATCACGGTCCTCTGACAGCCTAGCCTCTAATGCCTCAGACATGGAGCATCTCCTTGTGTTTATCTTATCATGAATACGCTGCACCTCATCCTGGGTAACAGACAGCTCTGCCTTTAGCATATTGGATATAAAGCCAAGGTTGTCATCCAACTTCTATTTACGTGCTGCACAAATGTGGCATGACCTAATCTGTTCTCCAAAACCTCATTGTGTGAAACTGTTATTTCCTGCAAGCAGGTGGTGAGGTTATCTTTGTCTCTGTTCCTCAGACCTCTGGCTAGTAATATTATTTGTACCAGCAAGCTAACTGCCATTACTGCATATAGGCAGGTAATTGGCAGATTAGCATCCTCCTCGAACATTGAATTCACATAAGAAGCAAAGATATTACCAATTGAAGCAAATGATAAATATTCTGCCAAGATTTTACCTGGTGGCTTCTACTCCAGATGCAGTAACTATCTTTGGCCAGCAGGTAGCACATGCATTCATCTAGTCTGAGCAGCTTTTGGCATCTCCCAGTCAGGCAAGATGGTGGCGGAGGCAGTGCTGGAGTCACACATATGGCTGTGCTTAGCTGGGAGCATGTAAGGCCTTTCGGCCACAACCTCTGAGAGAGGCTCGGCTGTAC